CCAAAGTTTGCTCAAAGTCATAATTCGTTAGCACTCATTTATTTATTTGTATTGAGTACAGATATTAATTAATTAATTTTATGTATTCTATTTTCCATACTTTTCATCTATGGTCTATCCCTTTCTTAGGTATTGAAAAAAAAAAAAGATCCGATGCTCTAACTCCATACAACTAACTTAATACCTACAGTACACTAGGATCTATCATGCACGCAGTAGCATTTCTATACTTTGATTTTGTGTTTTTGTTTTAATCAATATATTTTTTTTAATATAGACAATGGGGTTTTATCAAACTTGTACAGAAATTTGCCTATTGTTTACATCTAATCATAAAGATTTAATTTTACCTTTTGCCTTACACGTTGATATGTGCGGGTATATTTTCGGACAGCAGTAAGTCCGTTCAATAAAAACTATATAACGTGTTTCAGTATATAATGTCACCAAAATACTGTTGCTGTCGAATTTCCTCGATAACAGAGATTATATACACGCGTATACAATATATATATAATGAACATGCTTAGTGAATCACCGTGCACACAATAGTTTGTTTGTTAATTCTGTTATATAAATACATATACAATTATGTGTATTTCAATTAAATCGATTCCGGCAGACCATTATAGAATGTTTTGTCGTGCCGCGCCGCGCAAGTGCCACCAGTGGGGCATGGAACTCACTCTATATTCATGTATAATTTTTGATGTCGGCGTTTTAGAAACGATTAGAACTGTTGAAAACCAACAATATTGATCAAGAGATACCGAAGCCAATGAAATTTTATTTAGCCAATTATATGCTAAATTTCGAGAAAAAAAATATATAAAAAAAAACGAGAATACATCTTATAATATATTTATTAGAATAAAATAATAAAGTAAACAAGTTATTATCATTTTTTTTATAAAAAAAAAAAAATAAATTATATTAGTACTAGCTGCTAGTGAAATTTTTCATTTGGTAACCAAGATAAATCCATAAATCAATAAAAACAATAAAAAATATCTAAAAACCAAATTTTGATGTTGTTTTCAATATGTAGTAGATTTCAATGTAATATAAACCAATACAGTTTATTGTTCGCGTGGTTTTTAAAATATCATTTTAATACATTTTTAAAACATCCATTATGAAATAATTTAAAAAATATGTTGATGGCTATTCCGGCCAAAAGATGTTTTTAAAACGCATAGAAAATATTAGTTTATGATTAAAGAACGTTTTTGAAATATTCATTATTTTCCAAACAATATTTTTAAAATATTTAGAAAACATAAGTTTGCTATGTGGGTAGTAATGAATCTTGAAGGCGAATATCCTGATGAACTAATAGAGAACGAATACTCAATTAATTAACAATATAAAGAATATTACCAAAGAATCGTCATGTCCAGAGAATAAAAACAACCGTTGTACAACGAATAATAAATGACTGACCGATGAAAAATTAAAATATTCGTATTATTTGCGGAGCTGTTTGCGAAATAAACGCCGGCGCCCGGTCAAAAGGCCAACGTATTTTTTAACTTTGCGTTAATCCGTGATGAAATAAATGTATTAGCGAATACGTCCTGCGGTTCGGGCCTTGGTAGTTTGGGTTGCGCACTAGAAGAAACCTTAGAAAATACCATCACGGTGCGGCGGCGGCGGCGGATGCCGACCCGCGGCCGGTCTCGTAAAAGCCGACCGACTTTTCGCGGTCATACGACCCGGAGAAGTATAATTAACAGCGATTAGGGATTGGATCTACGGCGCAGTACCCGTCCGTCCGTACGCGACACGCGAGGAATGTTTTTTTTTTTTTTTTTTTTTCTATATAAAAACGCATTATTTATTTCCGCGCTGTCGGGCGGTCGGACAAGGGGGACACGCGCGCGCGCGCTCGACTGTATACGACGCGAGTTGTGCCGACAACGTGTGTATAATTCGTTGTTTGTATTGTGTACGGGGAGAGTCGCCACATCAATACGACAACACCGACGACGACGACGACGACGTTCACGCGCGCGCGCGTGTTACGGGGAGTGGTACCGCCGGAAACCGTCGAGCCGCCGGCACACACAATCGGAACGCGTATTATTTATCAATGTCGTCATTAAAGCGAGCGGCACGCGGCAACAATGGGTCGCGGGCACAATCAGACGTCTTACAAGTTCTCTCGGCGGCGCGAAAGCTTTGAAAGATCTTTGGAGCGCGCGCGCGCGCGAGTGTATACGAGCCGAACCCGATCGCCGTTGTTCGGACACAATGGATACCCCACCCCTTCCGCGCGCCAGGGGAGAAGAGAACGGCCGCGCGGGGCGGAAGGACCTAGTTGTTGTTTGTTGTATGAATTTACAATACTTATTGGCTTATTATTATACGGCGCGACAGACGCACGAGACCCGTGCACGTGCTTTACGGCTCTCTCTATTACGTGGCCGCGTCGCGCGGTTCGATTGTGCGAAACTAACACATTGTGTATATTTTCGGCAGGGAAAATCGCGCGTTCAACACGCGTCACTGCTAAAAATCGCGGCGATAATTCCGTACGGACGCGACAAACAAATTGCCGACGAGCGGCCGCGACGCGGGGAAGAAAAAAAAAATAATCCCAATTACAACGAGGGCGGCTAGTAAATCCCGGGAAACGATCGTACGGACACACCGTAAGATTCCGGAATGTAAACTTACGGACGAGGAAAAACGGTGGATTATAACAACGCGGAACAGAAAACACCGTAATCGCCCGGAAATATAAATACGCTGCTCGGGCCAGAACGTTCCGGGCTGTAATAATCCAGAATACGAAAATACGCACACCGCAATATCACGGACGAGCAATTTCGGGAACGTCACGCATGTTAATAATCCGGAATTTTAAAAACACCATTAACACTGATAATCGTGACACCGGGTCTGAGAGCATGTATATCCATCTCCGAATTCCATCTCCGTAAAATCGTAAACTTTCTTTTAATCTTAATCCGTCAATTCTGTTTGTACTGTGTATGCGAAAAATCACCATCTATCAGTGCTTTGTCCGAGACATTAAACTATTTCAGTGTGTGGGTAATTTTATATTCTGGATTATTCTAGTCGTGTACTTTCTGATATAGGCATTTATGCTTTCCGGATTTTTACTGTCCAGAATATTTTGGTCAGAACGTTTATTTTTCCAGTCGATTACAATCCGGACGTTTACAGAGTATCATTTTCCGAATTTGTACAGTCCGTCGTTTTCTTGTTAGTAAATTTATTAATTTCAGAAATTTTACAGTTCGTAGTAATGCCGCTAATGATTTTATTGTTTTCCCGAATATTAAAGTCCGTACGATTACTGAAAATTTCCGGACTTTTACAGTTCATCCGATTATTCCCGAACAATTCTAGTTTAAATAAATATTTTACTTCACCTAATTAAGGAATTTTTTTTAAAAAAAGGTCGCCGCATAAAAATCGAAGGTATAGGTAGGTGGTCGTTTCAAGGGTGACCAAAAACATTAATAGTACCTCGAAAATAAGTTAATGAGAAAATAAAAAAAAAAATTGTACATCAATCGCCAATGTTCTAAAACAGTGTTTCTCAAACCGTGGTACGCGCAGTACCCCTTGGGGGTACTCGACATTTTTTGAGCGGTACAAAGTCTCTGGCCGACAGACGTTGAAATTGAAATAGAGAGAAAAAAAAATTCTAAAATCGAAGGTAACATTCGTGAATGTTTAATTGAAACGATACCGTATGGCGTATCTAAACCGTTTCCTCGTTCGTCATTGATTGAGTAAGCGCGGCTATCGTTATACCAAACAGAGTAGGGATGCAGTAATAAATACACGGATATTAAAGGTCTATTTACACACATCCGTTCCGTAGTCAGTGCCGTCCGTTCCGTGTCCGGCGTTTAAAGTTTGTTTACATATTACGAAATGGGCATGTTTATACACGTCCGTTCCGTATCCGCACGGTCCGTTACCGTATTTTAAAATTTGTCGGTTGACAATGTTTTTGGGGATTTCACCGTTACGGACATGGAAAATACGGAACAATGTAAACGGCCGTCAGTGACAACTGACGACTCGATCGGTTTGTTCTTACCTACTCGCGAGACGTATTCGTAAAATTTAAAAAAAGTTTCAAGTTTAAAAAGTTTTTGAGTTTTTAAAAAGTTGTTTTTTTTTTTTTCAAAAACTTATACACCAAAATCTGAAATCACGTGCTCAGTAGTCAGATTCTAACCGCACTGAACGGGCACGGACAACGGATACTGATCGGACACGGAACGGTCATGCGTAAATACTCTTGCGCTGATACTGAACGGACGTTACGGAAACGGAACGGTTATGTGTAAATAGACCTTAAATAGACCGTAAATCCCGCGTCGTTCCCGCGAACGACACACCGCGCGCGCGCGTCATTTGCTTATCGCGATTAACGATTTTATTAGCGATTGACCGGGTACGTGTGTACGGACGCGCACGAATAAAAATGAGACGTAGACTTGTCATATATAACGACACGCGGGTTATCCCCGGATACGGGAACGCCCGAACCAACGCACGCAAGTACGTCCGCGGCGGTGAAACGTCGGCATAAGCCGTACCACTACAATAGTAGTGGGCGTTGTCTGTTACATTACAAGCTCGCTCACAGTATTGTGTTGCGCGTTGTCCGGTGTTGTTATTGCGGATACGCGATCCTATTCGAACAATTGTTCAGACCCGTTGACTCCCGTTTATAGCGAGTACGACAGTACACTTAAACATAATATTGTAACAATATTACGATATAATTTATAATAAAAATTAACAATGATTAAATGGCTCATAAATAAAAGGCCTCGTGAGGATGATGATGATGATCAAAATCCTGGACCATCAACTATACAAAATATAAGTAGGCCTGAATGTTTTGATACTAATGAACAGCACAAGGGAAAAATTTAAAAAACTCGAAAAGCTGATAAATGTCTCTAAAACTAAAAAAAGAAAATATGACGAGTTTTACTTAAAATTAGGTTTTACTTGGACTGGAAGCTTGTACGAGCCTAATCCACAGTGCGTCGTTTGTTTTGAAATATTATCAAACGATTTTATGAAACCATCATTTTTAAAACGCCATTTAGATAGTAAACATAAAAATGTAGTAAATAAGGAGTTACAGTACTTTGAACGTCTTTTAGAAGATCTTAAAAATAGGAAAAACAATATAAAACAGTTTTCTGGTGCAGAACAAAATGAAAATGCACTAAAAGCTTCTTACAAAGTAAGTCATTTGATCGCAAAGTCTGGCGAAAACTTAATCCTACAAGCCGCAGTAGAAATTGTTTCTTGCATGTTTGGAGAAAAAGAAGCAAAAATAATTAAAACAATTCCATTATCAAATGATACAGTTTCATTGATTTAAGGAGAATCAATGATATGGCGTATGATACAAAAGAACAACTTGTTCGAAGAATTCGAGGTAGCCCTTGCTTTGGGATACAACTCGACGAAAGCACGGATGTCACTGGCCTAGCTCAACTGATCGTTTTTGTTTGTGGCATATTTCAAGATTAAGTATTTGAAGATCTTTTATTTTGTAAGACACTTAAAACATCTACAAAAGGTGAATATTTTCAAATTGCTAGATTCTTTTTTTTCTGAACACCAGCTTGAATGGAAAAATTGTGTGTCAGTGTGTTTGGATGGTTCCAAGGCTATGAGCGGTCACATCACAGGGCTGGTAGGCTATATTAAAAAAATTTCAGCTGAGTGTAAGTTCCTCATTGTGTTCTTCACCGAGAGGCTTTGGCAGCTAAGCACCTCTCTGAGGAACTTAAAGAAGTCCTTGATCAGAGTGTAAAAATATAACCGATACAAATATCATAAACAAGGAAAAATTTATTTAAAAAAACTGATGATGATTATGACAATGATTTTTTACCTTCAAAAAAGAAAACTTCCAAGTTTATTTAAACAGGTAAAATAGTAAAATAAAAGAACTGAAACGTTTATAAAAATACTATAATAATATATAATGTATAATTATTGCAAAAATTGTTGCAGATAACGATTCAGATTCTAATGTATATTGTTTTCAAACGTTAAAAGTAAACAAAAAATTTGATTTTGTTTATTATTTCATTATAATAAATGATTCTAAAATTCAATTTTTTTTAAAAAGGTCGCCGTATGAAAATCAAAGGTAGGTAGTAGTTCACCGCCAAAAATATGGGTGACAAAAAAAATAAAGGCAACGTGAAAATAAGAAAAATTTTTATCAATCGCTAATGTTCCAAAAGATCAACAAATTTCTTTAACCTAAGTTTCTGCATTGAATTCGCCACAGAAACTACAGATACTTAACAATATTTAAACACAAAACATAATTTGTGAAATACATATATAAAGGGTAATTTTTTTTTATCATGAACCAGTAATTACCTCAAAAGATTTTAAGTGAATTTTAAGCTTTATTTTAAAACCATTTTTAATTTTTTAATTTATCGAAAACGATGGATTTTTTTCATTCTTTTGATTATTGTAAAAAAATTGTAGAAAGTATTATTTTACAGAAATCGAATGATCCTTTAATTCAGATTTATAAACCTTGTTCTGAATAGTGAAAATCAAACCAATCAGTGTTATTTAAAAACTTTCATCTAAAAAAAATGCAACTCTTGAGCAAGATTTAATTTTCTGGAAGAAAAACGAAATAAATCATAATGAAACATTTTCCATTATTTTTGACATTAACATTCCCACTTTTCCTACTCTTTTTTGTTATTTATATAGAAACGTATCTCTCAATTCACTAACTATAGACAACATTTCAGGCTGTATGCTACACTTAAAATTCAGAACAAGATTTCTGGTCAAAAAAAGTTGTTTACACACAAAAAAAATATCCATAGTAAAATCAATATTGAATTAGTATTGGCGTTTTTCAACAGATAATTTTTTAAAACTGACTAAAACACCAAAATTCAGTTAAGAAATTACATCTAAATCGTTTGACAGTTTTCAAAAACAACTTAATGTAGTGTTGGTCATAGTAATACACAATAATCAATAAATATATTAATTAAATTATTAAAAGTTATGCATTAATGTTCTGTAGCAAGGCCTATAGAGTAGAATGTTTAGATTCTGAACATATTTTATTTTTATAATACATATAAATTATTAAAAAATTATTTTTGTTTTCCAACCCCGACCTCCTCCCAATGATAAAGGATTCATTTCATTAATGCCATCATTATAAAGAAAGCAATATTATACTATGATTCTTAATTTCTAGAAAATTAAAAAAATTGTCACAAAATTAACAATAATATTTCAATAATGGTTTTTATGTATATATATATATATATATTTTTTCCTTTTTAATAGTAATTTTTTTGAACTTGATTTTATATTGTTTTATACTAAATATATACGTAACAATTCACTTGGTCCAAAATATTAACAATTATAATATATAATACAAAATCGAATAAGTAAATAAGATATTTGATTATTAATAAATATCATGTAAACTTCACATTAGATGTTGATTATTCAACTAAGTTTCTGATTAGGTATTATTAAATAAATTTTAAAAATAGATACAATTACTATTTAAACAATTAATATAAAGTATAACGTTAACCAGGCACTAAAGANCAAAACAACTGCATTTCAGTGAACTTCCATTACTATGACTGAAATAGACGTGCGAATAAAATAAAACCTATGGTCCCCGTGTAATAAGAAATTCAATTAAGCGTTTTATTGTTAAAGTTTACAAAATATTGAGGCCAGTTTAATTATTTCTGTTCATTTTTACAAGTCTTCTATTTCCCTATCAATCACAAACAGATATACAGGGTGTAACTGGACTATTTGACATTTTTACATGTAACTGCAATGAAAAAATGTCAATTAGTCCTATTACATACTGTATAAATATACATAACAGATACATGTTTGTACATTATGTATAAAATAAAAACTATACACTTATGTCCTATAGAGTATAATGTATACTTACACGATTTGTGAATGTGAACTACCATTTAGGTTTTCGGTCAGCAACATAGGTTCTTATCTAAAAACAAAAGAAATGCCACTTAAAAAAAAAAACATCAAATGAAAAATCCAAATAGATAAATAACCCAAAATAATTGATAACCAAAGCAGCACCCAGTCAAGAAAATATTACAATCATAGTTTTAAACCGGTAGCAGTTCCATAATATCAAACTATTGAAATAATCAATAACAGATTATTAGCTGTTTAATTTACAAAGAACAAAAATTCAACAGACATTTTAATGAACGTACCTACTAAAAACTAAAATGAAAGAAAATATTCAGATGAAAACTTAAGAACCTCTCATAGGGAGTATTATCATCAATATTATAATATTATTATTATTAATATACACATCATTTAACAGCAATGTTACAATAATACTTCACAAACAGCCAACTACTTTAATGGCAGTGTACCTAACCTAATTGCATAATTATACCATCAGTAGGTACAAAAACAGAAATGAGAACTTAAGTCATTTATTTATTGGATTAAAACATGCATATCATTTAATTAATTTAACAACAAAATTAAACCACGTGGGCAGTTTTGGTCAATAATATGAACAGTTGTGATGTACATTTNCTTATCCACTTGCATCTTCCGCTGCTGACGGGATATAACTTCGCCCATGGGGCGGGAACACGAAATACAACATACTGCTGCCATATTATAAAACGAACAACACGACTTTTTAAATTTAAACACGTGTGTTTACCATGTATTGAAAACACAAATGAAAACACGTACTTATGTAATCGGACATCAATGACGAAGCGATAAACGCGAAGTAGTGTGCGGAACGCGTGTGAAAAAATGAAAAAAAATTCCCGTTGAAATGGTTAATACCGATGCAACTATTGAGGAAAAAAAACAAAACAACTGTTTACAGTACGACGTGGTTACAAAAGAAAAGTAAAATATGGCCGACCGTCGACGCTCCGAAATGCCAACACGAACATATAACCCATAGAGCTGTAGTATGACACGTAAACAACGCAGACATTCTCTGCCAGTATGACCAACTGCAAAAATGTTTTAATACTCTGTACCCGGATACGAAAAAATCTATGACGTCACATCCAGAGCGTTAGCAGAATTTACATTACTGATAATACACAAACTGATAAAAAAGTAAATAAAAATTAGAATTATGGAAATGTCGCTTCTGTAATATGTACACAAGTTCTATTAGGCGTATAATTTCATCATACAAAATTTCGTTATTGTTTAAATTCAAGAGTAACATAAACCAATTAAAGAGATACATTTTAGATAAAGTCATATATTATAAACAATTTAAGGAATAATTAAATTTTAAATGTGTACAAATTTGTTATTGTGTGATATTGTTAATTTATTGAATTTGTAAAATGTTTGTCCATTACAGTGAAATTAATTTATTATTTATACTATGTAAATTAAATTTGAAAATATATTACTGTAAATGAAAATTATTATTATTGTCAATAATAATATAGTTTGTGTTCATCTTGATATTTCTATGCATAGGCTTTAGTTATTTGTTAAATAAATAGTTTGCTTTGTTGAAAATTGGTTGTGGGTATGTGAACAAAATTATTTTAGAAGATGAGACATTAAAAATAATAAATGAATATTATAAAAATGAATGGCCTATAAGCATTAAAAACTCAGAGCTATTACACTATAATAAAATTAAAAGTAAAAAATGTTTTGAAGAAAATTTACTGTACTGGAATAATAACATATAAGTTCTAAAAAAATCTAGGAGAGAAATATCAGATTTTCACCAAGTAATTTCTTTAGTAGGTATTCATTAAATGAAACTTAAAGCAAGGCACTATTGTTGTTGGTCAGGGATTAATTCTAATATTGAAAATGTTGTGTTCAGTTTTAAGATTTTTCAAACATTTTCTTCTCGCAATATTAAAAAGCCATTGATACAATAGAAATACCAATAATGCAATTTATTAAGTTAGAAGATATATTAAAGTGGGAAAAAAACATATTATGTCCTAGTTAAATATTATTCCAAATCATTAGAAAACAATACCTATAAAAGGTACATATAGTGCAGCATTCATAGAATACTGTAAGAATATAATTAAAACATTTGGTATTCACTCAGAAATGGTAGCTGATAATAAACCATTTAATGGTTAGGCATTCAAATAATTTAGTATTAAATATAAATTGAAAACTATAACTTCTAGTTCCGCAGTTATTGGTTTAGCAGAGACCTGAATTTGAGACAGGAATTTGAAAAAAAAAATTACAATTATTTCTTCTACTGAACTATAGAAACACTAGTTTCAGATTGTAAGTATCCTTAATCGCAATGTTGTCAATGTCAAGGGTATAAATACA